TATTATTATACAAGGTGCCAACGTGTCGTCATTATCACTATATCTAATAGTCTGTTTTTGGACTCCTTCTGACCTGAAATTTTATGTTAGCAGAAATGTAGAATGTGTGTATAAAATGCCAGGAATCATTTGTCCTACTGGTCTTCAAGGCGCCAATCCAAACAAATAGATTTGCTGACCTTTACTAAATGCACAACGTAAGTCAAGGGAATACCATCCACTGTTTATCCCCGCACAGTCCTCAAAGCGCAATATTTCTTCCTTAGTTCTGATACGAGAATGTACCTCTTTACAACAACGGTCGATTTTTATTTAGGGCGTCTATGGTGGAAATTGCTGTTCTTGGAGGGTATCCCTCACCGAGCAAGAAAAACTAAATGACGTGAGAACGACTTAGCCGCCAAAGTTCGTGGTAGTAAAAGACTTGATTGATCAACGCCAATCTCATTGACAATACAGAACAAATTTTGAATGTGCAGTGGAAAGTCAATGGTCGCCTACTGATACTAGGAATCAGTTTGTGGAAAAAATGCATTCCGGGAATTAGCAACTGCATCCCTTCTGGCAGAATATTTGAGGTCATGTGCGATGACTGGTTCCAAAATATGCCCATCATATTTCTACTACCTTTGCGAAAGCCGACATCTTGGTCTCTTTCATTGACAGACATTGCGTAGCATGAGAGCGTGCTATGTGGCCATGGTGACGACAGTTATGATGATAAACACCTCATCTTGGTACTGAACCACAGAGTACACCAGCCTTTATCTGCAAAATCTTCCTTTCAAGTGGAAGGAAATATTATTAGCTGTTGTCCAGCAGTGTCACCGGCCACCTCTCCTGTAAATGTTCATCAGAAAGAGAAATCACCGCAGAATGCTAGTGACAATGAAGATATTTATGGTGGAATTTTCGAAAGACAGCTTCCTTTTTATTTAGCCAATAATGATATACCTGTAAATAGGGGGTGGCCTGAATACAAGCAGCATCCTGTTGGTTACTTCTGTACTTATGGATGTGACTAAATACCGATAGAATTTGTGCACTGAGTTTGGTAATATATCATGATACCAATGCTGAGTAAAAATGAAAAACCCTACAGGACACTATCTCAGCCACCGCGTTGGATGTAACTGAATGTAAACGTTAGCAGTAACACTATTTGTCTGACTCCAACGATGCTCACGAACCATGGCAAGATCGGTGTGCATGCCTGGTGCTGCAGAGTGTGTAAGCCTGCAAATTAAGATATTGGGTCGTATATCAAAAGTTAACCAATGCCGTTTGGGCCATAGATAGAGGACAGATTTCGAGAACATCAAAGCAGGGAATAATATCAATATTCAGATCCGTCCGCATAACCCAAAGGCCTAGATACCGAAGATATAAGTGTTGTGCTGAATACTTCAGAGTCAGAGTCAGAGTGACAGACTTAAAGTCTACGAGGAAATTAACCATCAAATGCCTCAAGTGAAGACCGATTTTGGCCTCAAAGGCCGTGACCTCTTCAGTAGACAGTCATAATAATACAGATCTCTAATATGAAATTCGCGGAAGCCAAATAATTCCGACTAAACTCTATGAATATCCAGCCAACGCGCGTCCCCGTCCAGGGTGGGATCAAACTTAGAAGGATGACAGTAAGGTACAGTCCAAGATTGCCAATTTCATAATACCGCATGATTTGCACTAGATATAGCATTGATACGTTCCAAGCATAGATCGTCCTTTATCAATAAACGTGCAAGTAAATTACTTCTCAAAATTTATTTTTCAGAAGAATACGATAAACACGGCCACTAGTTCAAATCTCAGCCAATGACCCGCCCGCCGGACCCGTCCAACCCATCTAGACAGTGAAGTAAATCCCACAATAACAACTGCTAACGCCGAAGTGACGGCTACAACGTTGAAAGTGATCAGACGTATAGCCAAATTCTAGACATTAGGATGTTTGGTAGGAAGAAGTGAGGACCCACACGTGAATAGCATGTGCACACAACGTCATTCACTAATCTTACTTCGTTTACATGTCTTGGCAGGCCACCAATATATAAAAATGGGAAAGATAATGTATTTCAAAAAATCTAGATCATATGCTTATTTCAGAACACAATATTGGCGAGCGCACGCTTTCAGTAAATTCTCATCAGGCCATACAGTTACAAGGGAGGTTTAAATTTTAAAATCGCTAAAATGTCTTTCCTTACACGCGGGAGCCAATCAA